CATTCAATATTGTGTATTATGTTTTATCCCGTTTCAGTGTTGTTTATATGTTGTTTATCTTATGTATAATTATACGGTTACATTCGATTTGGATTTTACAATCATTCAAATTTGTGTGTCATGTTTTATCCCATTTCAGTGTTGTTTGTATGTTGTTTATCTTATGTATAACTATAGGATTAAATTACATGTTTATTTTATGTATATATACAATGTATCTGAACATATTTTCATGATCAGTTTCACTGACTCCATTTTCTTTAGATTACACGGACGATATAATTATACTAAATATATTCATAAATTAAAAAAACTTAGTTAGATCGATGATTTTTTCCACAATAAACGAGATTAAAACGTTATGAACAAATGAGATTTCACGAACACCAATTTTTTCTAGCTTGTTCGATTTTTTTTTTCGCCAACTCAGACGGATAATATACTTATACTAAATATATTCATGAATTAAACAAATCAATTTACGACGACATATTTTTTTTTTCTAAATATATATACTTAACTCATTCAACTATTTATTGTATTTTTCAGTTAAATCGATGTTTTTTTCCAACTGCAAGACGCCGACAACTGAAATGCCGTTTGTCTTTTAGAATTCATTCAACCAGATTGTAGTTATCATATTTGGTATTAATTTTTTTCTTATTTTAAATTCCATCTTCATTCCCGTCCGTTCAGCTTAATTTTTTTTTTTGGTACAAACCGTTCAACTTAATTGATTGATCTTTATGTGGAGAGAGAACCAGGATCTTTATTTAGAGAGAGAATCAACATGACTTTTATTTGGAGAGAGAGTGAAATTATATGGAGAGAGAAGTTTTGCCCACAATTATTAAATGGAGGGCACTAAATATATCAGTTTTTAGAAAGTGATGAACATCCGTATTATCACAAAATAAGTTTCCACTTCGTAGTTTTAAAAAACATTTCACATGGAGTAGTAATGAGAATAAATTTCTCAAGATTTTTCACATGAAGTTTAAATCTAGAGCAAGTATAAATGTTTGGTCCTGACAATAGCGACCATGTGGGGTCTTAGACAGGCCTAATAATGGGCCAAGATGTGGCTAAGCCCCACGATCCACAGTGATCTTGGCCCATAGACGGGGAGCTGTTCTACTAAATTTGACAACACGCCTTATTGTGTTTTCGTTCTGAGAAGACGGGTCATCGATCAGAACTTAGAAGTATACATTAATTAGAATTATAAGAAACTATATTATTATTATTATTATTATTATTATTATTATTATTATTATTATTATTATTACCTTTTTTTACACATTTTTTTATTATTTTATTTTATTTTATTTTATTTTTTGTGTAGGACTGTCTAAACCATTAAGCAAGAATAAACTAGTAACCAAACAAGCTAATTAGCATATTTGACAGGTCATCCTCTAAAGGAGATTCAATCGGCTAATTTTATATCAATCCGTCAACATGTAATAATGGCCATAATCATTAGAGGTTGTGTCCCGATATGTCTACTTGGGACGTCAATCAAACTTGAAAGTCGAACATTAAAGGATATAGCTAGATCATGGGACGTCAATCAAACTTGAAAGTCGAACATTAAAGGATATAGCTAGATCATGGGACCTCAGCAGAATCAACAAGAATGTATCAGAACTTGAAAGTCCTAACCTTCAAATGAGCTTTATTACCATGACAAAAGCTCATGACCTTCACCGCACAGGAAATCAGAAATAGTAGTAACACTAGAGCTCCAAGTGTGTTTAGGCACTGAATCAATAGTTATGGACACTTTTTTAGTTAATCGCTAAAGTGACAAGGTGGGAAAGATAATGTATGAAATTTTAGAGATGCCTATGTTTGAATGGAATATGAAAAATTGGGGCATAGGATAGCAAAAATGACGGGAATTTATCCTCTCATCCATGAAAAAAATGTCTCGTTGAATGACATATATCTCAACAGTAACAAACTACCACTATCTAAGATTCTCACAAGCACGAATGTCTCTAATTATGGGTACTGAAAAAGGCAATCAATAAAAGAAAGAAAAAAAAAAAGACAAATTATTGAAGCAATATATCAATTCAATGGCGTCGACATGGACATCCTTAATACAAGGCATAAACCGGCTGATATGGCTCAAGCAACCATTTCATTTCAGACAAACAAAACCCTTACGTGCAAAAATTCAGGGACTGCTAACGAATGTTCAAAGTTGCAACTTAACATAATATCGTTTGTTGCTCTAATATGAAACCAAATATCCATTCTGTGTTAAAAATACCGAGGGCACCTTTGAATCAACCATAGTTGCACATCATGTTGTTCTTAATGAGGTCAATAACTAAACTATGCATCTAATACTTATGTTGTAATGAATCCTTGTATGTACAAGGGACAATTGTAACACTCTTGTAACCCTTAAATTATGCTCAAATTGTTGTGGAAAAGAAAAAACCACAAAATAATCACTGCTATTAGAATATTTATTACGAACCCTATGTCTGGATTGAATTCGTCTAATGATTCTTTCTAATTATCATCCAATTACACGTACCCTATTCGCATAATGCTTCACAAACAAGAAAGACGATCTGCACATTTCTTCCATAAAAAAGACCATACAAAGTAACAAACAGCAAACCTAACGAAACATCAGCCGCTTATAACGAATTAATCCATCAAATTTCAACAAACCGTCCTAAGAAGATAGACCCACTTGCAAATTCTACTGTGAAGACAAAAGTAGCAAATGAACACACAATTGCGCATCCGGGAGACAACAAAACCTAAAAAACAATTATCCTGTCATATCAAAATTTGTTACCATTCAACATGATATTCTCCAGTACCTCTATCACATTCAAATAAATACCCAGAAAATCTATAGCACAAAACAGGGTAAAACCAAACAAAAAAGAATTCAAAACCTCTCGGCAAGGCGTGCACTCACCGCTCTCAGCTTCGAGTACACTTTCGCAGCAGGTGAGCCCAAGATCAAGCTACAGAGCGAGTCCCTCGCGACCTTAATATTCGCAAACGACCCCAGCATATGGATCTTCGTGTCCGCAATCACGATCCTTGTCCTGGTGGCGTTCTCGATTGCGAATTTCGTCTTTCCCCCTTTTCCACTCAACCTCCCGATTGCCCGGGATAAATGCTCTCCTCTCAGAGTCTTAACGTCCTTGATCTCAAAGGACTCCACGTACAGCTCGTCCATCCTGAGAAGGGCCACGGCGTCAATCACGTCGAACCCTAGCATGAAGGCGTGGACAAAGTCAGCGCATTTCTGAAGGTTGCTGACGTCAGGGGTGTCTCGCCGGGTTTTCAGCTCGACCCGGCGGGCCTTGAGGTTCATGCGTATGTCAATCTTCATCTCCTCGTAGATCGGGGTGTAGATCTCGAGCCAGGCTTTCTTGAGCGGGGTGTAGCGGTGGGGCGGAACGGGGACCTTGCGGAACT